CACTTTTTGTAAGGCTGGCAGAGGAGCAAGGCCCCTGGGAAGTGACTGGCCTGGAGCTGGAGGCATCCAGAATCCATATCTTCTAGAAAGAGATGACCAGGATGGTGCTCTGATCTGACCTCAGCCCAGCTTTAGTGCTGTAGCTGTTACAACTTATATTCTCTGTGGAAGTGATTGCTCAGCCCTACTTTTTACCCAAAGATAGCGATTTACACATCTTAGCTAGAGCTACATAGCAGCAAGTCACTCAGGAAAGAGGACAACTGCTCCCGTGAGGAATTCTTGTCTGCTGTCAGGTGCCTCTCAAGATTTATCTACTACCTTGGAAGTATTTTCAGTGCAATAATTAATCTGTCGAGTTTCCTGAGGACCTTTCGAGCACCATTCCACCCCTCCCAAACAGATTATGGGATGTTTACAGCCATCAATGCAATGAAAGCATCCTTTGCTATGACGATAAAGTCTGTGTAGTTGCCACTGCTTCAAATTCTCTCAGTGAGCCACAGAACAAAAGCTGTTACTGCATGCTAGCCTAGTATCTCAAGGGGATGGTAACTTTGTGCACCATTACAGCGGATTTTCTGCTATATCATGACTTACGTCAGTGCAATGATGCTTTTCGTGAGGAGCCTATTATGTGGCAATACAGATCTTGAATGAGTATTATGTGATAGTGTATAGATCTTGAATTGACTACAGTTTAAATGGTGGCATGGTCAAGTCAAAGTCTGTTCAAAAGGAAATGTAAAATGTGATTTTGTTTGCTTATTTAAATAATTATTGACTTATATAGAGTGAAAGGTCGTGTAAAGCTGCTACTTGATATTCGTCTGTTTTTCAAAATTCTGTGCTAAAGCTAGTCAATGCGCATACTTACATACTAGCTTACTTAAGCTTATTTATATTATAAGCTATTATAAACTACAATCCTTGCCTGAAATCAGCAACTGGAAAATTTACCAAAGATGATTTGATTAGCAACAGAGGGGAAACAAAGAAATGTTGAGATACAGAAATTTTAATTTCAGTGTGTATAAGCCAAATGACATAGATTTTTATGTTATAGTATGCCTCCCTCTCATACAAAAAAAAGCACCACTTAGGTGTAAACAAAATTCAAGTGAGACAGTGTCTCTAGGAGCGAAGAGTTACTTATTTGTCTGAAGGACCATTAAGACGACAGCTTGCTGGGGGGAGCCACATGAAAAATGCCAAAACAAACAACAAAACCCATCACACTCTTCAGTCCAGGTCAAAATTAAACTTGCAGCAGCTGCAAGTCTGCTTTCTAAATGGTCTTTCTGCACGTTAATCTTAATGCACACATTTTTCTATTTTCCCATCAATTTTACCGGAGAACTAAGAAATAAGTCTTTTCTTCAGAATAATGACAGTATTTTCTGGTTTATATGGTATGATGATTTGGCTGGGAGGTTGGTATTTGTTGCAAAACCTTACTTTAATTTTGTGAAAAATGATGAAGCAAACCTATCCTCTGTGCAGAGACCTGACTCCTTGTGCTCTTAGACAAACCTGAATTCTTTGATTTATTCCCTTAGTAGCTCAAGAAACATGAAGTGTTCTCCTTGTCCAGACTTCTTCCCTAAGTATTTTTTCTTTATCTTACTTCATCATACTTGAAGTTTTTAAAAAGAGGGACATTATGTTGTACTTGCAAACTCTGCAGTCAAGACCGGTTTCAGATCTTTCACAGGCAAGTGGGTAAATGCAAACATGGTGTATGCAAGCATGCATAACAATTTGTCTGGTATTTCTTAATCTCACTTCAATATACAATTATGTAATTAGTTCAATTAATTGGACCAATTTTAATGATTTTTTTTGAGGGTTGCAAAATAAGCGGTGTACCAAATTGCTATTACATTATCTGCTGTTACCTCAAATGCAGCTGTAATTCCCCTTATCATTGCTAAACACTTACCACACTTTGGTTTTCACCAGGATGAGACTGACTAGAATCTGCTACTTTATTTCTTTATTTCTTTTGTTTTTGAAGTAGACCCAGTCCAGGCAAAATGGGGGGAAAAACTCCCGAGCTTCATAAGAAAGATCTGAATACTGAACATGAATGACAGTAGTGTAGAAGATCTTTCAGCAGAGTGAACTAATGCCTTTGTATGTGCAATGGGTTGGATGGATCCCTTCATTTCATATTTACTGTTGGACACAGCAGTAATTGAACTTTTTTGGCAAGGATCCTGTTACCTGCTTTCCTGAGGACTGGTGCTTTTTCCTCTTCAATCCCTGCCTCCACAGAGGGAGCTGAGGCACATTTTGAAAATTCAGGAATAGAGAATGCAAGTGGTTTGTTTTCCTTATGGTGAATGGTGCATCTCTGCTGTATGCAATATTGTGTAGCATTAAGACTCACAGACCCTATACGACCTAGTCCCTAGCTAGGAGGCAACCATTTCTACTGTGGAGTCATGGCCTGCAAAGTCAGTGTTTAGGTACCTTAGGGCAGATTGGGGCAGTGGCTATTTGTCATCTTGTACAGTGTAAGGCTGTTTACTGCAAAGCCCTGTTGTTACCTTTTATTTAGAGTTTTGCTGAATGATTTGCCTGTTGGAGATTACTTTGTCTGGAAATACCATGAGTAACGATTGCTTCACAGAGGAGGAGGAGGAGGTAGTCATCAGTTAGTTGATCTCCAGGCAATTTCCTTAGCAGCATTACTTTGTTATGCATACAAACAAGATACTTTTACTCTTGTTTTAGTTGAAGAACCTCTTAACTTGCATATTGTCTGCAACATATCTGCAGATGCCACTGGTGGCAAATGCCACCATTACATTGGTGCTTGAGCTAGGATTCAGGGACCTTTCCAGAAGCAAACTTTTAGCATCCTGGTATGAGATGTAATATCACTTTCAGACACGCATCCAACTATTTCTTTGTAGGTGTACATTTTCCTGGTCAATTAGCACGATACATTCCAGTTCCTGTCCACTGACCGACTGACTTGGTGTCTATAGAAGTCTGAAAATCAAAGAACTCTTAGGCCAGCATAAATTTTGCACAGATGATTTCACAAATCTGAGAGCAGCAGCTCCCACATTTTACTAAACTTCTTATCTGCTTTGGAATTTCATCTAGCGATCAGTCATAGTAGAGGCTGCTGTGAAAGGCCATTATGCAGAGAAAATGAAAAAATCTTAATTAACTCTTGGTAAAGCTGCTAACAAACTTTTCACATCACAGAAAGAGAAACAAAGGCATCCAAAGGTTAAACGACTTAACTAACATTCGCTAATATAGCAGCTACAGCTACAAACTGTATGGCTTAGGATTTCTGGGGTGCCTCTGTTCCCAGTGTTTTGGTGGTAATGGTGTTGCAGCTGGGCATACACTGCAGTGAACAAGTACTGTACATATAAAGCTTCACTGGGAGGTTCATGATGTGAGCACTGAAGAAAAGCATAGGAAGGATTTTCCTGCATTGTTTCTTACACTGGCTCGGACGTGGGGGACATCATCAATATTCAAAGAGAGATGTAACACCTTTACCTTGTCTGATAGATCTGCCGTTAGAACATCTTGTCCTAGGATATGAATGTCTCTGTAGCCTTTAAGTCACTACTTATGCTTTGTCTTTTTAATTTGTCTTACTTAAAAATCAGTATGCAAAACTCTACATAGAATTACACTTTGCTAATATTCTCCGAACTTTGTTTCAGGACATAAGAGGGTGTGTGTATGTGTGAATATGTGCGTAGTTAAGTATGAAAAAGGCCTATGCAGAGCTTTCCTCTGTTAATCTGAATTCTCAATCTCACCTTTAGTTTCCACCCTGCTTCCCTGAGAATTGCAGTGGGAGAGAAATAAGCTATACCACATGGGCAACAGGCTTAAGCTCTTACAAAGAAAAGGTTTCTGAAGTCAGTCATCCCCAACTGAAACTGTCCTGTTTCCACTGCTTTATTTACACTCTCTGTGGGTTGTTAGCCAGTGTTTTCTAGATTTGAGCACCACAGATGGCTTCAGCTGCCACTTGGAGAGCAGCGGTGCTTGAGTATTTGTCATTCAAGTCACTGCGAACATTATGGGAAAGACCAAATTTAACTGCATCCTACAAGGATTTGGTAGCCTGCTGGCTGGGCTTATTAAATGATGTGAAAGCCTATTAAGAAACATTGCTTGACTAATAGAAATCACCTTGTGCAGTAGTTGTGCGTTTTCCCCAAACTAAAGACGTTATACTTCATTCTGGATGTGAAAAGTCATAGCCTGTGTAGCAAAACACGGGACAAATCCATGAAATGAAGACACAGATATCTCTGATCTCATATCCCCAATCTCCAAACTCATGATCTGTTTCATTTGAACTAAGGCTAATTTAATGAACAGAAATAGCAAATAGTTTTAATAGCTGAAAAGAGGTTACTTTAACTAAAAAACATGAAATGGATGGGATATAGTAGCCGGCAGAGTACTCTCGGAAGGGCTGGCAGCGCTTGTTCTTAGGAACAATTATTTTCTAGTACCTCTTTTGATACTTTTTTTTTCTCTTTGCTATATCAACTGATTTCTTTTGTTTTCTCTCACCACTTCTTTCTCTGTAGACCTTTCTGTTTGCAAAGGAGTGTTCTTCCTGACACTTATTTCCAGTTTGGCTTTCTAAAACCAGGGTGAAGGCTGCAGTGTGGTCTTTGAGACCAAATCCTCCAAAGAAGCTGAGAAGATTAGCATTGGTTAGCTTTAGGCAGACAAAAGCTGAACTGAATTGATAAGGAGTAAAAGCCCAGCTGGATGACAACAGGTAAGTCATTTTAGATTGTCTGAAGATTTGGATCCGGACTTCTAAGAGAGCGTCGGCAATGATGTTTTGGCTGTCTAGACAATAAAATTCCCATAGGCTTAATTAAAACTAGGAATTAAATGTATTTCTGCTTATGAAACATATAGGTACCTCTTCTATTGCTTTGCTTTTTGATAGCATTTCTAGCAGAGCTTTGGATATAAGATCCCATGCTACTTACTTGGTTTGATTTTGGGCCAGTCTGCTGCTTCTATCCTGTGGTCTTCATACTTCTTGCCCGAGTAGGCAAACAGGTAGCGGCTGATTTCTGCTCGTCCTCGCAGATTGAAGTATGTCAGCTTGTACTGTGGCATGCTGGATCCCTGAAAGGGAAGACACCGTGTTGCTTTAGATATGAGTAACTCAACTCCTTTTTACAAAAGCTCACCATATGCTCGTTTTTGAAAGACGTGCTTGTACAATGCAAAGGACATATTACGTTAAGCCATGATGTGTTGTACTTTGCAATCATTGTATTAGACACACCTTTTTGTTCTGCATTTGTCAGCCACAATGTTTAGACGTGAACAATGACGGTTAAACCTGCAGTTCCTCCTTGTGTATCTCCAGAGAGATGGCTTGATTTTTTTCAGACATATTAAGAACTTTCAGCTTTCATTTATTTTTCTTGTGACTCCAAACTCAGGCCATTTTTATAAAGTGTTTTTCAGAGTGCAAATCTAAAATCATATACTGTAACAGAAGATGGTTGCTGTCTTGAGCAGCAATTTTGTTCAAGCCTGCCCTGGTCAGCCTCTATTGCTTATGGAGACCTTCATCCAAGACTAGATCATGCGAATTGCCAAACTGTTATGATTTTTCTCATTAACTTTTACCCTAGTTGTGTAGGCCAAGCAACCCAAGTTATTTTAGAAGGAAAATTTGCTATGGAAACCAGTCTACACTGTTGTTTTGAGAAAATAATCATCAAATTCTCAGTTTCTTGTATAGAAGCCAAAAGAAAACTTGAAATTACTTTGTTAGGTTTTCATGTGTTTTTTCCTTCACTTCTAAGTTAGGAATCATGTAACAGGAAAGCTCTATTTGTTTCTCGGTGTAACAGGCAACAAAAGAAAATACTCATGAGTTTGCTTGTACAACAAGGATGGTGCAGGAAAGGTGAATAGCTAAGGCTGCTTTAAACAAGAAGTAAGCTTTTAAACTCTGCACATATAGCACCTTAACAAGAGATATCTATGAGCTCAGCTGAGATTTAAATGTACTGGCTAAAGGGAACTAAAACAACCATCCACCTCCTCACCCAAAGCAAAACCCTTTCTCATTTTGGCCTTAAAGTAGACCTTGCATGTCATTTACCATTCTTTTATAGCCATCAGATTCAGAGTGTTAGTAACAAAGCTTGCAACAAAGGAAAGCTGCACTAGGAAAGAAAGGGAACTTGCTTTTTTAATGCGTAGGTGCTACTACATAACCTTGCAATACAAACAACCCCCTATTTAGTCATCTTGTCTTTGAAAACATATGCTTGAGGGCAGATGTATCATCAGCTTTCACTTTAGAGGGAGAGGCTTTTTGTTCAGAAACTGGGAAAGCTTGCACTTAACTCACGCTGAAAAGAGTAAACTGCCTTTGCCACTGTCTCCTCAAAAGTCAAAATATCTACTTTCCACCCTTAAAGTAGCAAAGACAAAAAAAATTTCACAGCAAACGAGCACACTGGAGGCTGCTTAATTTATCGTGAAAGTTACCTGTTCCCCTACAGCACACAGCAGGCTCAGAAGAGATTATTAGTAAATGGAGATTTTTCACAGCTGATGGCCCAGCAGAGAAGCAGGAGCAGAGATGAAGAGTTACCAATGGAGATATCTACAAGTGCTTCAAAACAAAGATACCACTACAATTATTTTTTTTAAGTCAAGCAAGTGAGCTCCTTTGCTCTGTATAAAAGAGGGAAGCTGCAGGCAAAATGAGTTACATTAGGATGTGCTTAGTTCTCTAGATGTGTTAATTACCAGAAAATACTTTTGTTTGCTGCTTGGCGAACGCAGCTCACAGATTACAGGTATAAGTGTTTCTTCCTCTAAAGAGAGAAATTTTGATAATTCCAAATTTTTAAACACGTTTTAGGTAAGCGGCAAAACTTTGCTACTCTATTTTCAAATTTTGTGCCCTGATTTATTACTTATTATGCTTTATTGTGCTTATATAATAATACTATATATATTATTATACTTATTTATTTATGCAGGATGACTTTGGATTATATGTCTACAAAGTTAATGTAAGAAGAGAGGATGAGATTGTAGCACTTTTTTTCCCCCATTTTTCCTTGCTTCTGATTTTGTGTGGTCACTTGAGAACAAGGAATGGCATTTTTAAAAGAGCATGTGTTATCTGAGGTTCAAATTAGACATGACTTAGTGATTTGGGAGTAAAAGGGGAAAAAAAAATCCCACTTGATTCTTACTTTCCAATTTTTTTGGAGCAAGTAGATACTACTGATTCAGTCTGCATTTGGAGAGGATACAACCTTTAACATGCAAAACCCACAGTGTCTGCTTCCCTTCTTTAGGGGTGTCCGCAGAGCTTTTTTCATTAACAGCAATAGAAGTTCCAGTGCCCTGGACTTACTGCACCGCTCACACATGGCTCCAGTATCTCAGCTACCTCTAGCCCGCTTAGCCCTGTGTTAGCGGAAAGTTGTTGGCTGGAAGGCATTTAAAAGCATAAGAGCAGAAGGTTTTAAGGTAGAGTCACGAGGAAGGCAGTAGACAGCTATATACAGAGCGGGCTGGAGATGGGTGAAGTGTAACATTTCTGGTGGCGAGTATTTTGAAAGAGTCTAATTCTTACTGTGGGAGAACTTTATATACGAAGACATGTATAATCAGGAGTAGTGAGATGATGTAAAGAACAGGGAATTTTGGCTGAAGATCAGGAAGTCTTTCTGGCTGCTGTAGCAGACTGGAATATTTTGGTCTGTCAAGGAAGCGGTGGAAACTATTGTTTGAAATGTCTAAAGCAAAGCTAAACAAATTGCTAATGAATACACAGTAAGGAGTAATCAAGTATTTGCAGTGCTGATACACATTTAAGCTTATAAATTTTTGTCCATCGGTGAACAAAAAAACCCAACCCTACGAGGAGTTTACAAAAAATACTTTGCATTTTAAAGGCCTCTATAGCTTTATTTTTTAGGATGTTTTTGTAAATGTTTGTAGGTTTTATTTTTATTTGTATTAGTTGTGAAATGTCAGGAATAGTGCTTCCTAAACAATTACAGATACGTTTCTAAATGAAAGAAATGGTTGTGTTTGGAATAACTTTTTGCCAAACAAAGTAAGTTGTTGGGTTTTTTCCTTATCCTCCTTTACCTCATTTTCCCAGTGTGTTTTGTAAAGGAATGGATCATGAGGAACAAATTAAAACCATTTTTAAAATGTCCAAAATTATTAAATGATTGAAAAATGTCACTTCTAGAGGAAAAAGGTCTATTTTGGGTCTTTAGGTTTGTGCTTTTGTTTTTTTGGGGAGGGGGGCAGGAGAATCTTTAAAACTATTTAAAATTATTTCTCTTTTTTTAGGTTTAGTCATGGCTTAAAAATACTGGAAGACGTTGGTGGGGGGAGGATCTTAGTGCCCAGACCTGCAAACTTTTAGCCACCTGTTTAATGCTATTAAATCTGTTCGGGTGAGTTTGTTGCAAAGCCAAGTGTGTATAAATGCAGGAGGGGGCTGATTTACCTTCCATCAATAAATCTGCCATCTAAGCAGTGTTTTTTCAATTTCTAAAGTGATGAATACATGGCCGGGACCCACCTGTATGCCTGCCCTGTCCTACATTGACTGCGCCTGCGGAAACCTCAGCCCCAGTTTTATCGCATACAACTTTCAAAGCAGTGAACTCAACTAATCTAAATTTACTATTAAATTAGCTTTAATACTTTAAAGTTGTTGACCCACTTAGCTGATTTTCTAGCTTTCTTCTGCGGCTTTCTTAAAGCCAGCTTAACTGGCTTTAACATACCTTTGAACAGAAGATTAGTGGATCCCATGATTAAATTCAACTTTTGGAGCCACTCAGTGACAAAATCAAACAGAAAATCTGAGAGAAGGTCAAATATGTGTAAAAGGTGGCATCCTCCGTGTTACTCATGAGTCAAAATTCAGGTTGAAGTTACAAGCGTCTCAGACACCTTAGGACAGATTTCAAATAATTTAAGACCGTTCATGTCTTTATGGAGATACTGTATTACCTGATGAATTTGGGATGCTTTTATTCCAGTTGAAGCAGGACTGAGCAATCAATTTGAAAACTTTAAGCAAGATTAGAGTTAAAAAACAGAGCCCAGGAAGGAATCAGCGTCATTCTCTGAGAATTAAAAATGCTGAATTTCAGATAGCGCTGGTACAGAAGAGAAAAAGCACTGGCGGACTGGAAACTGTATGAACATACCGGGAGGACAGAGATGCAAACAGTCCCAGTGTCTGCAAGGTACGCAATACTTTTGCTTTTACTGGATGGCAGTGTACGTGTCCCTACTCTGTTTTGAAGGGTGAATCACAAGTGCACCACCTGCATTTCGCCTGCTCAAGATGAGTTTCTGGTGTGTGCCCAGTGCAACCCAGAGCAGGCTGCCTCTGCCAGCCGGTGCGCAGTTCTGCACGCCCGGCCTGAGCCTTTGCCCTGTGAAAGTAAACACCAAAACTCTGTTGGACTTTGTAGTGGAACAGTGTTTCATCTCTGTTTTGGAAAATCCAGCCCTCAAAGTAATACAAGGAAATATTTCTCAGGCTAGTAACAGACACAGAAACCTGGATGCAGATGCACAGTATGTGAATTCAGGGGGGGGGGGGGGAGGTGAGAACAAAAGACAGCACTTTATTTCACTTTTTTGGATAAGGTTATTAATATTTGAGGTGACAGGCAGCAGAGGACTTTTCCCTGAGCTGGGGGTGGAGGGGGAGAAACCAACTAAGTTGAGCTATTTGTTCACATCCATCCAAAGTCTGACAAAGGACCTCATGGTGCAAAGTCCCCTTTAATTGTACTTTGCACTGTGAGAAATCAAGGGTTTTCTTGCCTTAAGGTTTCACCATTGTTAGAGGATTTTAAAAAACCCAATTGTTCCCTCCAGCAAGCAAGACCTGTAGGGTTGGGTTAAGGTTCATCTATGTATTTCTAAAAATCTGGGACTGAAACTGTCTGCCTGGAAGAGATGATGCATTGCACTGTATGTATATTTATTTAACATGAGGGTTATTCATTAATTTAGGAGTCACTTCTGGAAAGCACCGCAGCTAGCACCTGACATGGCACTGCCCCAGCTGAAAGCCAGTGCCTGCTGAAGGGCGT